TCCCTGACCCTGGGTCTGACCTCGCTCGTGCTGCCAGTCCCACTGTATCTCGTCTCCTCGCCACTGCAGTCACTGACACTTCTTTTGAGTCCACTTCTGCGTCTGGACTACGCCACTGCTCTTGTTGTTGGGTTTGAGTCTGCCAGTCCTCCGTCCATCGGAGGTGAGTGTGCTCTTGGCACGGACGTCCTTGAGGACAGGCAGGAGGACTTTGAGTGTCTTGCAGCTGCTGTACCTCATTTCGCCTCCTTGCTGCTTGCCCCTGAGGGAGACCCGGATGCTCCTGACATCCCGACACCGCGCTCTTACGCAGAGGCGATTACGGGTCCTTACTTCTCTAAGTGGCAGACAGCCATGGATGCCGAGATGGCATCCTCAAAGTCCATAGGCACCTACGTCGACGCATTTCCCCCGTCTGGGGCGAACATAGTTGATGGCATGTGGATTTTCAGGGTGAAGCGGCCGCCGGGTTCTCCGCCTCCCTTCAAGGCGCGTTACGTTGCTGGAGGCTTCGGTCAGCGACAGGGAGTCGACTTCTTCCAGACCTTCTCCCCCACCCCGAAGATGACTACTCTTCGAGTGTTGCTACACGTCGCTGCTCAACTTGACTACGAGTTGCACTCGCTGGACTTCAGTACAGCTTTCTTGCAGGGCAGCCTGCACGAGGAGATCTGGCTACGTCGCCCACGTGGCTTCACTGGGTCGTTTCCTGCAGGTACCCAGTGGAGCCTCCGGCGGCCAGTCTACGGTCTGCGCCAGGCGCCTCGCGAGTGGCACGACACGCTGAGGACTACACTTGCGGTTCTTGGGTTTGCTCCTTCTACTGCTGACCCGTCGATGTTTCTACGCACCGACACCTCGCTGCGGCCGTTCTACGTCATCGTCTACATCGACGACCTGGTCTTTGCCACTACTGACACTGAGGCACTGACCCTTGTGAAGTCGGAGCTGCAGAAGAGACAGACCTGCACTGACCTAGGTGAACTGCGCAGCTATCTTGGCTTGCAGATCACCCGGGACAGAGCACGGCGCACCATCACTCTGACTCAGTCACACATGGTACACCAGGTCCTTCAGCGCTTCGGCTTCCAGTTCTCCTCGCCACAGCCCACTCCTCTGTCTACCGGCCACTCGCTCTCAGTTCCACCTTCGGACGAGTCCGTAAAGCCGAGTGGTCCGTACCCAGAGCTTGTGGGCTGCCTCATGTACCTGATGACGTGCACACGACCTGACCTCGCGTACCCTCTTATCCTCCTGGCTTGCTACGTGGCTCCCAGTAGGCACCAAAAGGTGCAGTGGGATGCTGCGAAGACGGTATTGCGTTACTTGTGTAGTACGTCGGGCATGGGGCTCGTGCTTGGAGGACGGGGTCCAGTTGTCCTCACTGGTCACGCAGACGCTTCTTGGGTTGACGACTTGGCTACGCAACAGTCGTCACAGGGTTACACCTTCAGCCTCGGTTCCGGCTCCGTTTCCGCTCGTCTTCGGTTCTCAGTTCCAGTTGTGAGGCTGAGATCTACGCTGGGGCCATGGCTGCACAGGAGCTACGCTGGCTCACCTACGTGCTGACTGACTTGGGAGAGCAGCCTCGTTTGCCTCCAGTCCTGTACGTAGACAATAAGGCCATGATTGCCTTGTGTGAGGAGCACAGACTGGAGCACAGAACGAAGCACATCGCTCTGCGATACTTCCTTGCTCGAGAGTTGCAGCAGCATGGTCAGCTTCGTCTTGCGTACGTGGCCACTAGGGCCAACACTGCTGATATATTCACCAAGCCACTTCAGTTTGGTGATCATCAGCACTTCTCTACTATTTTAGGCCTTGTGCCTACTTTGCCTCACTTGCTCACTACGTGACTTTGCTTGTACTGTGATTTATATATGTATAAATACTTGCATGCTTACACTAGGTAGGCTATGATCACTTTACTGTTTGTGCTCTTTATATACAACACTGCATATGAACTGGCCTTGTGGCCCTTTGCTTGTGCTTGGACTGTGTGGTGACTTTGTGATCCACCCTGAGCTTGCTTTGCTTTTCTTGACTAGTCTTGTGACCACTTGTTCTCCCCCACGTTGCCTATGGGGGATTGTCAGAATGTTCTAGTGCTTACATTTGTGTAGGCTATGGTGGGGCAGCCCATAACGAGTACAACCCAATTAGGGTTAGTACTTGTACCCAACTTCTGCTCAATGCATTCATTCTCGTTCATTCTTTTGACACGAACTCCATGTGCCGGCGGACTTCGCGAGGCCCTTGTGTGCCTGTTGCGGCCCTGTTTTTCTCCATGCCATGCATTGAGTGAGCGGCGCCATCACTGGCTACGCCTGAGCGTTGTCCCACGCTGTCGTTCTGTGTCGTTGTGCCTGATGAGATGACGATCGGCTCCTCCGATTGTGCAGGTGCATTTGCAGGTGCATGTGTTGGTGCTGGTGCATTCAGCGTCGATTGCTGGCGAGCGGAGTCGCGTTCCGCCGTGAGTGTCGCAATTTCGAGCGCCGAGTCTTCAAGTTGGTGCACGAGACGGTCGAGCTGCTCCTGCGTCAATGTCGCAAGATTAATTTCGGCCATGGCGGGGGTGTCGGGCAAACTCAGCGAGAGCCTCTATCGTGGCCGTGCGTGCTTATGAGAGAGCACTTCGAGCGGCGGTGCTTGTTCCCCCCAAAAAATTGAGATAGTGAGGAAGCGAATGTGTGGATGCGGTCCGAGAGGAGATTGTAGGCTCTGAATACCAAGTGTTACGAGTGCAATTGAGCGAGCGAGCGAGAATTGCACTATCGAAGCAAAACAATACAATGAGAGAAGGTTGGGAATTGGGTAACTAGAGTGGTAACGGTAACGCGAGGAATTGGGGTGCGCTACGGGCCTAGCGCCGAGGTTGGGATTTGTCGAGGCGGAGGTCCGGAGCGTGGGTTACCAACTGAACCGTGAGGTTGGGTCGCGTCGTGAACAGTGGCGGGAGTCGTGGTCGAGGTGAGTGTCGCGAGCGGGGTACCGTAAGCCCCCGGATATAAGCGCAGGCCTCGGATAAGCGCCGTCGCTTAGAAAAGGATGACGGCGCTTATATCCGGTCCTCGATTATAAGCGCACCCCTTAAAAACCAGTGTTTTTTATACTCCCAGGGGCGCTACTATCCGGGGTCTTACGGTAACGTTTCACTGTTTGGGGGCCGATGGTGGGAATGGTCTTGTTCGCGGTAAGCAGGGGGGCGAAGCAAGGAAAAGGAATTTTCCTTACAGATATGAATAACGTACTTTACTAGCAATTTCTGCTGTTATAGGCGATTTCTGTTGCTTAGAAGACATAAAATCCCTCTGCGTATGTTTAAATTTAAATTGAACAATCTTGGAGTTATGTCATCATAATATGACTGGTTCTTTTATATCATAGAGTTAATTTCTATACCTCTTTTTATTTTGAAATCTTGTACCCAGATTTTCCTTTATATTTTGATTAGAACTGTGGTAATTTATCATACCGGTATTTTGGTCATATCCATTTAGGAAACATTGTTGCTTGTGTTGTTAGATCACAACAAACAACACCTCAATCATGAGCCGATTATAGATGTTGCTGCAATAGCGACTCATTTATCGTAACGGAATGTGCCAATATCGACAATCGCCGACCATATTGCTCCTGCTTCTGCCTTCCACCCGCATTTGCCAAGTGCTATTTAGCCTTAGGGCGGGTCCAGCGCGTACGTTTACAGTTCATCCTGTGCGGTTGACCTTGTTGCGTCACGGTTAAAAATGGTGGAAACTGCAAATCGCTTTGAACCATTTGATATCGTGTTGCGCCATGAGTCATGAACTGTAGACGAACCGTAAACGTACGCGCTGGACACGCCCTTACCTAGCTTCATCAGCAGCAGCAGCTGTCAGACCAAGGACTGCCTGTCAGCTACCTCAGTCTGCGAGCTGTTTCCGACAGCTTTCAGCGAATGGCAAGCCTCCCAGAGCTTCGCCATCCACTACTTCACTCAGAAAGAAAGGAACGCATACATAAATGCTGCACATTCTTCCTGCTTTTTATCGCATTTTCCGCAGGCTGCGTAGGTGGATTTATCAACTTCTATCATTCAGCAAGAGATGAATCACCTAAGCGCAGCATACCTAACAGACGGACAGCGTTCCATTTTCAACCGGAAGGGAACTGGATGAATGGTCAGTAAATATCAGTGGGTAAATCAGTGACTAAGTAGTAAACATCTCATTGTGTCCTTGATGACTGAACCCCCGTTTTCCCTTTGCAGATCCGAATGGTGAGCGCTGCTTTATTGGGACCTATGGCGGCGTGTCAGTTTCTTACTATTATGTCTTCATTCAGGGCCAATGTACTACAAGGGACACTATCATTTGTTCTACCAGTACAATCCTTTTGGAGCAGTTTGGGGTAACATAAGCTGGGGTCATGCAGTTTCAAGCAACTTGATCCAGGTATGAAGCAGGTTCAACATGTTTTATACCTGTTAGGTCGTCCTTGACTGACATGCTCCCGCTGGCAGTGGACCCACTTGCCAGTGGCCATCAGTCCTGACAAGTGGTATGACGTAATGGGTGCATGGTCGGGTTCCGCTGTGGTTCTTAGTGACGGAACTCCTGCTATCCTGTACACCGGAAGCAGCAAAGATAATGTGCAGCTACAAAACCTGGCTTTTCCAGAAAACGCATCTGATCCTTACCTCACAACATGGGTGAAAAGCCCTTACAATCCCATAGCCGTTACACCTCCTGGAGTTAGCAAATTCGATTTCAGAGACCCATCCGCATGGAAGGGAAGTGACGGAGTGTGGCGAATGATTGTTGGGTCAAGGCAAAATGGGACCGATTGCGTGTTCATGTACAAGAGCAAGGACTTCACTAACTGGTCGAAGATTCCTCAAACGGTTAGGACGGCGCCAGGACGAGCTGGAATGTGGGAGGTAAGTGTTTTTGGTCCCAGTATGATGTGCGAGTTTCTTGTTTATCTATTAATTTAACGAGCTCCTTCTCATGCAGTGTCCTGATTTATATCCTGTTTCTACGAATGGCAATGCTGGACTGGATACGTGCTCTGAAGATGACGTTTGCCGTCACGTTCTAAAGGCATCCTTTGATGACGATTTTCTTGATTACTATGCCATTGGAACCTACAGCCAAGCAAATGAAACTTGGGTTCCAGTGGATCCGCAAATCGATGTCCAAAATGGGCTGCGATACGACTACGGGAAGTTCTATGCATCAAAGACCTTTTATGACCCGTCCACGCACCGCCGTATCTTATGGGGATGGGTGAATGAGTCCGATTCACAAAATGACGACATATCTAAAGGTTGGGCTTCAGTCCAAGCTATTCCACGTGTTGTCAGTTTGGACTGGTCAACAGGAAAGCACTTGTTGATGGAGCCTGTAGCGGAGTTAAAGCTTTTGCGAGGAAGACACTTACATGATGCTGGCCTCACACTGAAGGAGGGGATGAACAAGCTTGTCAACGGCCTTACAAGCATGCAGGTAATGGAACGCTTTGAAGGCTTTCCAGAGTGTTCGTTCGATTATTAACAATTCTTGACTGCAGGTGGATATGGAGCTAGTATTTGCCATTCCCAACATCACGACGGAGTACCGCCCTCTTGACAGTGACTGTGGTTGGGATGAAAATTCTGTTTCAAAAGTTGCTGGCCGATTTGGGGTCCATGTTCTTGCCTCAGCAAATTTGGTAGAAAGAACATCTATTTATTTCGAGCTCGCCAGTGGTGGACCTTTGGGTCGATGGCAAGTTCGATTCTGCAGTGACCAAAGAATGTAAGAAAGATGATTTTTTAACCTGCCTTGTTTAGCCTGACTCGTTATGCGTACAGGTCTTCATTGTCAGAAACGGCGGAGAAGAGTATATATGGGAGTCAGCTTCTGCTGCAGGAATCTGAGGATAGGCTCGTGCTTAGAGTTTTGGTAAGTAAGCGAGCGGAGATACTTTCTTCAACCAGCATCTCCATTTTCTAATATATTATATATTTTTCACTTCAGGTGGACAACTCAATTGTGGAGTCCTTTGCCCAAGGAGGAAAGTCTGTCATAACAGCAAGGGCATACCCAACAACAGGGGAATCAAACAGTAAATATTTATTCAACAGTGGCCCAGCTGTCAAAGTAAATTCGTTTGACGCTTGGGAAATGATGGCTACCAACAATCAAATGGACACATAAAAGAACTGATGGCCACTGTTAAATAGTTATTCCAGACTGGGGGACATGTTTGGCAGTGTGTGAAGTGTTATGCGTTGAATGCACGGGTCTTCTGTGAGTCAGTGTTTCAGCATGCACATGCATACCAGCCAGAGCAGAGAGGCCTCAGGATTGAGAATGTACGTAAGTGTTATCATTACGGGGTTTTAAAAACCGACTTGAATGAGATTGAAGCAGACGAACTCTATGGTATAAGGAATCCATCAGCTACCAACATAATTTGGACAAGCCGAATTTACTGATGTAACTGCTGTGGGATCAGTTGCGCACATAGCCAGCGGACAGTTATCAGGAGATGTTACGCCAGCACCCCACCAGGAGAGGGAAACAGAAGGGGTTTCAACCTGAACCCCAAAAAATATGAAAAGTGCCATGAACATGACGCCAGAATCAAGTGCTGCAGACAGCACATAGTTGTAGCGACGCCACCAATCCTGAAAAGGTATAAAAAGATACACACAATGTATATCGTACTCCTTTCTCTGCGAATTATGGTAAATGAACCAAGCTGTCATGAGAATATACTTGCAAGGTTATTACTAGAAAGTAGACCAATCAGAGGTGTGTTACCGCACCTTTCGGTGAGTGAAGATGAGCTTGTTGAAGATAAAGCCCATGGTGAGCCAGCCCAGGTAGTTGATGGGCGACGCAGGCGGCATCATGCCCACGCCTGTGAGCATCACTGGGATATGCACCTTGGTCAACCACTGCAAGTGACACGGGACGGGAGTGGGACAGCCATCAAATGAAGGAGGTGCTTAGCATGGTATGTAGCCACGGCCTAACACATGTTCTGATTTTTCAAAACTTTAGAATCGGCCACAGAGCCACTGTCAATACGTCATGAAGAAATATTCGCAACTGCCACCTGTGTCGTCGGCTCACTCACCTCTGTCCCCAACATCCCACCACCTGCTGAAGCCAAGCCATCATCAAGCTCCAGTTCTAATAAGATATGTGACAGGGTTCCCCACAGAACCACCAACCGATTTTGCCAACCCACTGGCTGCCTCTGCCAGCTCACCAACTTTTTTGAACAACTCACCATCTGTCTGCGTTGACTCACCCTCCATCTGCATGGAGTCAACATGTGCCTGCACCATCCCACCATCTCTCTGCATCATCTCACTCACCATCTGTATGCATGATCTCACAATGTGTCTCTACCAACTTACCACCTGGTGCGGCCACATCTTGTGCGCGGCCCAGAAGGGGATGGGAGCGAGCGCCCCTCCGAGGAACCACCAGTTGAGGTTGTTGTAGAAGGCCGAGGGGCCAAACATGCGCTCGGGGCCGATGAGCCCCCAGATGATGGACGCTGAATAGAAGACGTTGGCTGTGGGGCACGTCCATGGGGAATTTTCTGGGAAGTTCTCATCGTTGATCTGGTGAAGGGAAAGGGGACGAGAGCATGGGGAGGAGGGAGGAGGAAGGGAGAGAGGAAGCTAAGAAAAAGGTAGGCAGGGGATTGCATGCAGACGGGCAAGGGACCATGGTCATTGAGCCATGGGTGCTAAGCTGTGGCAAGGAACACAACATGCGCTTGGGGCCGATGAGTCCCCAGATGATGGACGCTGAATAGAACACGTTGGCTGTGGGGCACGTCCATGGGGAGTTTTCCGGGAAGTTCTCATCGTTGATCTGGTTAAGGGAAAGGGGGTGGGGAGGGGAGATCGGGGAGAAAGGAGGAGGAGCGGAGAGGGGGAGTGCAGGGAAAGCGTGGGAGGGGATGGCATGCAGACCAGCATTGGTCATTTAGCCATGGGTGCTATGTTGTGGCATGGCAGGGAACATGCATGTGCTCGGAACTGATGAGTTCCCAGACCCAGATGATGGATGCCAAGTAGAAAACTTTTTCCGTGGGGCACTTCTACATGGAATTTTCCAGGAGGTTTTCATCGTTTCACTGGGAGGGCGGGAGGTGGCGTGGAAGGGAGGGCGGGGAACGAGGGGATCGTGTGGGAATGGAGGTTTGAAGGGGGGGGAGGTGGAAGGGAGGATAGTATGCTCAAATAGAAGAGAGATGGAAGTGAGAACATGGGGAGAGGCACTCAATAAAGGTGGGTGGGATGAAGCAGGGGTCAGACAGGGCTGCACTTCGTTCCAACCTTGCAGACAGGGAAAAGGGGCTCATATTCTCCACTCCACAGCGTAGTAGATCTTCTAAGGCACTTCAAGCAAACAGACGAATTGTGAGGCGATTTACACACACACACACGCTTTCGAGGCGCTCGAAAAAAGAGCGGGGCGTTTCAAAAGTTCCTCTTCTTCCTTCCCACCTTGCAGATGAGCCCACCTTGCAGATGAGCCCACCTTGCAGATGAGCCCACCTTGCAGATGAGCACACCTTGCAGATGATGTTAGAATTGTATGTTCTAGCATGCTAACACTTGTGACTGTACACCAATTGTGGTGTACAGTTGGGTTGGGACTACACCCAACTTTGGGTGTAGTCTTGCATTGTGGGGTGCCAATCCAACCCAATTGTGGTGGAGCCCCCAAATGCAACCCACTTGACCTTAGGTTGCCTCACTTCCCAAAGTGAGGCCAACCCAACCTATGGTCAACCCAACTTTTCTCCTTCAACCTTCTCTTCCTTGTATAACCTTGTGCTCACTTGAGCTAATGCCAATCATTCTTCTTCAAGTTTCTACAGCTCCTAGTTTCTTTCATGGTATTCAGAGCCTAAGGCAAACACCACTAGATCCTAGGCCTAAACTTTCTTTTTCCTACCTTCCCTTGTACACTCCAGCAGCTAAGCGAAATCGTCCGACTTAGTCGCGCGGCCTCCCTTAGTACATCGCGACCTTTCTTAGCAACCTAACGGGCTCCCCCTACTCTTCGCGCCACTCTGCTAGCATCCATGCGGGCCCTCCTGCTCGTCGCGTAGCCTCTGCTAGCATCCGTGCGGGCCCTCCTACTCGTCTCGTCACCTCCTCTAAACGGTCGCGCAGGCCGCGCGGACCCCTCTGCCCGTCACGCCACCACTATTAGCAGTCGCGCGGACCCCTTTGATCGTGGCGAAATCACTACCAGCAGTCGCACGGTTCAATTTCACCGTCGCGAAGTCCCTGCCAGCAGTTTGCGCGGGTCAATTTCACCGCCGCGACTGCCACGTCGCCGCCTGCACTTCCTGCCGCCGCGACTGCATCATCGCCACCTGCCCTTCCCGCCGCCGCGAGTGCGCCGTCGCCGCCGCGGTTTTCAGCCGCCGCGACTGACCCGTCGCCACCTGCCCGTCCTGCTGTCGCGACTGCTCGTCGCCGCCTGCCCATTCCACCGCCGCAACCACGTTGTCCCCGCCCACGCTTCCTACCGCCGTGACTGCCCCGTCTCCGCCTGCAAATTCCGCCGCCACTACACCCTCCTCATCCCCACCGCTCACTTCCCGCCATAGCAGCCGCAGCAGCAACTGCACCCTCCCTTCCCCCTCTCCCTCCTCCTCTCCCTCTCCCCCTCCTCAGCAGCAGCAGCAGCAGCGGCAGCAGCAGCAACAGCAACTGACATGGAGCAGATGAAGATGTCACTGCAAGTAGCGTCTCAAATGCAAAGACCTGGGCGACCTCACGCACTACTTGGCCATGGCTATCACGCGCAACCGCCCTACTCACATCATCTCCCTCTCCCAGTCCCACTACATCAGCCAGGTCTTGGAGAAGTTCGAGATGGCGCAGGCCAAGCCCGTATCCACCTCCCTCCCCTTCGGCCACCAGCTCGCTCCACCCACTTCTCCCTCCTCCTCCCCTCACCCCTATGCTGAACTCGTTGGGTCGCTGATGTACGCAATGATGTGCACCCGCCCTGACCTCGCCTACCCCCATCAGTATGCTCACCTGGTTCGTTGGCACCGGTCGTCACACTGAGGAACACTGGAAAGCTGCTAAGCGGGTCCTCCGCTACCTTCGTGGGACCAAGGACCATGTCCTCACCCTTGGCGGCCCCTCCCCTCCTCTCCTCTCGGGCTTCAGTGATTCCTCATGGGCAGACTCGCAGCCGGACCGCCGCTCCTCCCAGGGCTACGGTTTCACCCTTGGCAGCGGCCTTATCAGCTGGCGCTCCACCCCACTCCTCCGCCATTTCTCTCTCCACCTGCGAGGTTGGCACCATGGCCGCCCAAGAGTCGCGCTGGCTCTGCTTTCTTCTTGCATAACTTGGTGTCCCACAGCCCTACCCCACTCTCTGGTGTGACAACGCTAGCACCATCCACCTCACTCAAGATCCCGTCTATCACGCCCGCTCCAAGCAAATCGAGCTCCGCTACTTCTTCATCCGTGAGCTCGTACAGAAGGGCCTCATTGCTGTTCGGAAGATTGCAGCAGAGGCCAACTTAGCCGACATCTTCACCAAGGCCCTCCTTCGCCCTGCGCACTCTGCTCTCCTCCGTCTCATTGGCCTTGCTCGCCTGGGCGCCCCCTTGATTCAGGGGTTGTTCTCTTCCTGTGTTAGCTTGCTAGGGGGTTGTGTTAGAATTCTATGTTCTAGCATGCTAACACTTCTGACTGTACACCAATTGTGGTGTACAGTTGGGTTGGGACTACACCCAACTTTGGGTGTAGTCTTGCATTGTGGGGTGCCAATCCAACCCAATTGTGGTGGAGCCACCAAATGCAACCCACTTGACCTTAGGTTGCCTCACTTCCCAAAGTGAGGCCAACCCAACCTATGGTCAAACCCAACCTTTCTCCTTCAACCTTCTCTTCTTTGTAAAACCTTGTGCTCTCTTGAGCTAATGTCAATCATTCTTCCTCAAGTTTCTACAGCTCCTAGTTTCTTTCAGATGAGCCCACCTTGCAGATGAGCCCATTCTCCACAGTGTCATAGAGCCACCAGGACGTGCCGAGATTGACCAGGCCCGCTAATAGAGTGGCGAATACCTGCACCACAAACATAGCTCTTGGGGGGATCTGCACGTGTGCATGCATGCATGCACACACATGCACATGCACATGCAAAGCGTAGGCACGTGCACATGTAGAGAGTGGGCAGAGTGGGAGAGATTAGATAAGTCAGAAAGTTGCAACTCCATTCAGCCATTCCCACAATAAGAGAGTGACGAACACCTGCACTGTAACATGGCTTGTGGTGAGATGTGCACGCATGTATGGACACGGACATGCACATGCACATGCAGAAAGTGGGCAGAGTGGGAAAGAATTGGTTTGAAAGATACCAGCAGCTATGCACAGACAAAAAACTTTCCAAAGGGCAGATGCAGTGTGTGAAAACGAAGCAAGTGTGTGGCGAAGTCGGAAAATCTACAAACATTCAACAAATGCAATAATCAAGAATTTGCTCACATTCATGTAATGTCCGAGCTTGAAGTCTTGCAAGAAGGCAATTGCCTGCGTCATGCTGATGTACCCATACGTCTTGAAACACACGTTCCCTATGGGCTCCCTCCCCTCCCCTCCTCAAGGGTTTTGAGTCGACTCGGAATCAGCTCACCTTCATGTAATGCCCGAGCTTGAAGTCTTGCAGAAACGCAATGGCTTGAGTCATGCTGATGTACCCATATGTCTTGAAACACACGTTGCCAATCGGCTCCCCAGGGCGAATATACCCCCAGATCATCTCCGTTATTATATTGAGCCCCGGCTGCTGATTGGTGGTGGCGGGTGACTATGCCGATGGGCAGTGTGAAGAAGAGGGAGAGGGCAGCAGAGAGCAGCAGGCCCCACCAGGGCAGCTGGAAGTAGGTGTTGAGTTCGAGGAAAGCGATGCAGACAGCGATGTTGACGAGGAGGAGGATGAGGAACCACCACCAGGGCACCTTGGGGTAGCGCTGCATGAGCCGCGTGTGCACGTCTGGCTTCACCTCCGTGGCTGAGAGAAGGGGGGTTGGGGGGGGTGGGGAGAGGGAGGGGTTGGTCAAGGGCGGGGGGGTGGGGTGGGGAGAGAGTTGACAGAAATATCATAAACCATATCTGTGCTGTGATCATAAACCATATCTGTGCTGTGATCACAAACCATATCTGTGCTGTGATCATAAACCATATCTGTGCTGTGATCATCACCACATACCAGATAGCTGCAGGTTTGTCTCAATATCTCGTAAAACTAATTGATAAACGACATCTGTGACTCCCGCATACCAGTTTCGCACTTGCCACAACACCATCTCTCATTCACCTCCACTCATGTTCCTCACATTAGATCTTCCATACCGCCCATCCATACCCTTTTTACCCATACCCATCCATAGCACACCACCACACCACCACACCCATCCATACCATCACACCCATCCATACCATCACACCCATCCATACCATCACACCCATCCATACCACCACACCCATCCATACCTGTTAGAATATCTCTCCTCTTGTAACCTGCATATATGCTATAGGATAGGCTAGAGATAAGCACCCAACTTAGTTTGGGTGTACAAACAGGGGTAACCCAGTTTGTAGGTGGAACCCAACCTTGGTCCAATTATGGACACCAAAAGGTTGGGTTGGGTAGAATTATTGGCTCCACTCCAATAATGTTGGCCAACCCCACCTTGGCCAACATTATTGGACCCCACCAATAATCACCCAACTCAACTTCTTGGTTGGGGTCCAATAATGCCAACCAAGGCTAGTATCTCCAACCTCCAACTATGTATACCCCCATCATTCTCAATCAAGACACAACTTCTATTCTAACTCTCATTTCCCACATGGTATAGAGCACACTATCCTAGGCCTACTATCGTTCCAAAGGCCCACCCGGCCACCGCAACCCACGGCCTCCTCCCTTTCATTTTTTTTTTTTCCCCGGCTCCTCTGCCACTCCCCCTCCCCCCTTAGCGCTCCCCTTCTTTCGCAGCCTTGCTGCTGCCTTTGCGCCCGCCGTCGCCCGCGCCTTCCCCCTGCGACCTCGTCGTCGCCTCCGCGCTCGCGTCGCCCCGGCCTCGTCAGCCGCCGCCGCCCGCGCTGCTCCCCTCCGCGGCCTCGTCGTCGCCGCCTCCGCGCCTGCGTCCGCCGCGGCCTCGCCAGCCGCCGCCACCCCGCTCCCCTCCGCCGCCTCGACGCCGCCTCCCCGCGCCCGCGACGCCGCGGCCTCGTCAGCCGCCGCCGCCGCCCGCGCCGCTCCCCTCCGCGGCCTCGACGCCGCCTCCGCGCCCGCGACGCCGCGGCCTCGCCAGCCGCCGCCGCCCGCGCAGCTCCCCTCCTCCGCGGCCTCGACGCCGCCTCGCGCCCGCGACGCCGCGGCCGCGCCTCGCCAGCAGCCGCCGCCCGCGCAACTCCCCTCCGCGGCCTCGCCGCCGCCCCTCCACGCCCGCGACGCCGCGGCCCGCGCCAGCCGCCGCCACTCGCGCCGCTACACGGCCTCGACGCCGCCTCCGCGCCCACATCACCGCGGCCTCGCCAGCCGCCGCCGCCCGCGCCGCTCCCCTCCGCGGCCTCGACACCGCCTCCGCGCCCACGACGTCGCGGCCTCGTCAGCCGCCGCCGCCCGCGCAGCTCCCCCTCGCGGCCTCGCCGCCGCCTCCGCGCTCGCGTCGCCGCGGCCTCGCCAACCGCCGCCGCCGCCCGCGCTGCCCCCCTCCGCGGCCTCGTCGCCCCCGCGCCCGCGTCGCCGCGGCCTCACCAACCGCTGCCGCCTGCGCTGCTCCCCTTCACGGCCTCGACGCCGCCTCCGCAACCGCGTCGCCGCGGCCCCACCAGCCGCCGCCCGCGCAGCTCCCCTCCGCCGCCTCAGCACCACCTCTGCGCCTGCGTCCGCCACGGCCCTCGCCAGCCGCCGCCACCTCCCGCCGCTTCGCAGCCTCGTAGCCACCTCCGCGCCAACCTCCGCTGCCTGCGCCATTCCTCCACCTCCCCACCGCTTCCGCACCCGCGCCATAGCAGCCCCCACCAGCTGCCGCCACCTGCGCGCTTTCGTGACCACTGCGGGTCCACCTGCAGCCGTCCCTCATGGCTAACCCCATGCCCTCCCCCTCCCCCCTCCCTCCTCCTATCGATACTTCCTCCATTGACAAATTACAGCTTGCAGCCGACAAATCTGCCATTAACTGGTACTCGTTCGTCGGCAGCATCCGACGAGTCCTCACCAATGCATGGATCCCCCCCTACCGCGTCCTTGACGTCGTCCTCCGCCGCCCCCATGCCCTCCCCCCCACCGAACCTGACCACCCCGGCAAGACCCCTCCTCTCCCTCCCCCTCCTGGCGACCCTCCCCTTGAGCCCGAGCTCCAGACCGCCGCCGACCAAGCCACCGCAGATGCAGACTTCATTATGCGTCGCCGTGCCTACCTCATCCGCAAAGCCGAGTACGATGCAGCAGCTGATGCCTACGCCCAGGCCGTTGCTGGCCGCAATTTTTTACCTCGCCGTCGTCGCCAAATACAACGACGATATGACTACCTTCACTCCTAAGTTCATCGCCTGGTCAGCCGCTGACAACTGCGCATGCACTGTCATCCTCGGTGCTCTCCCCGACTCCCTCATGCGCCGCTTCCAGGCCCGGGAACTCCGTGCCTCAGTGATATGGGCAGAACTCCATGCTATGTTCGAACGCCGCGACATCAGCTCCGTGGGAATCCTCTTCCAGGTATTTTTTCTATTACCCTCGCCACCTGTGACGGGGCAGTAGACTATGTCGGCCGCATGCGAGAGGTAGCTGATCGCCTCGAAGCCCGCCAAGCCGGTCTCTCCGAACCCCTCCAAATCCATCGCCTCCTCTTCAATCTCACCCCAGACTATGAATCCCGCCTTCACGCCTTTACCGAGGCCATGGCCAATATCACTTATGTTGAACAGTGGATCATTGATACCGAAGTCAAACTTCGCACCCCCATGGTCAACCTCGCCTCCTCCCACCCTCCCTCCTCCTCTCTCAACACTACCCAGCCCCGCAAGCAGGGCAAACGCAACGGCAAAGGGGGAAGTGGGGGCAAGGGAGGCAGCGGTCAAGAACCAGCAGCGCCAGCAACCATGGTGCCTCTACTGGGGATGAGCACGGCACCCCCAGTCAGGGCGGTCCCTCTGGAAACCGGGGACCCCGCCCTGGCACTCTCCCTCCCTGCACCTATGTCCGTCGCTACGGTCCCCGGGCAGGGACACCCTGCGGTCAAACCAACCATCCCCCTACCACTTGCTTCAAGGCTCTCGATGATGCCTGGTACGCACGGGGCAATGTTGGCACACCTCCCCGCTGGGGTACCGTCTCCCCGCGTCCCCCCCTGCTGACATCCAAACCCACCCTGCTTATCTCCCCACCCACCTCCGCCTCCTTGCTCCCCCCACGCCGCTCCTCAATATTCAGCAGCAGCATCTTCTGCAGCAACCGCAACAGCAGCAGCAGCAGCTGTTCCAGCAGCAACCACAGCAGCAGCAGCTGTTCCAGCAGCAACCACCGCAGCAGCAACAGCAGCAGCAGCAGCAGCCCCATGGGGACCCGGGCTCCCACCCCAGTGGGGACCCAGCACTCCCCCTGCAGCAGCAGCAGCTGAACCTCAGCGCGGCAGCCACAGCTGCTCAGACCCCCCCTGCTCCCCTGTGGGGTGCCCCACCTCCTCCTGGTAGTATTGTCACTCCCCTCACCCAGGAAAGTTTTCTTGGCAACATTGCTCTTTCCCCCTCTCTTCCTTCCATGTACCCCTCCACCATTAATGAAACCACTTTCCAGTACTCGGTGTCTTCCTCCTCCTCCCCACCCACTCTGGACTTCGTCCTTGATAGTGGGGCCACTGAGACTGCTCTCAAGGATGCTGGTACACTCACACCCCTCTCTCCTCCCACTCAAGTTCACGGTGCTGACAGCAGTTTCACCATCCCATGCACACATCTCTCCACTCTCCCCTGCACAATCTTCCCCTCTGGTAAGGTAACTGTCTCCACATCCCCACTCTCCGAAACAACCTCCTCTCCCATCGGGAAATCCAGAATGCAGGTATCACTGCCGTCTATCCAGGTAATGCCACCTACTGTGACCTCTATCACACCCGCCACCGGTCGCTTCCTTCTACGCATTCCCCTCTGCCCCCGCACTCGCCTCTACACTCTCCGCACCCCTTGGCCATCCTTCTGCCATGTCACCACTCGTACTGGCACCTCCACTCACCCTTCCCATCCCCCTACTTCACCTCCACCCCAGCAGCAGCAACAGCAGCAACAGCAGCCGCCGCAGGGGCAGCATCCGCAGCAGCAGCAGCGACAGCAGCAGCAGCCGCCGCAGCAGGAGCAGGGGCCGCAGCAGCAGCAGCCGCCGTCGCAGGGGCAACAGCAGGGGCCGCAGCAGCAGCAGCAGCAGCACCAGCAGCCGCCGCAGCAAGGGCAGCCGCCGCAGCAGCAACAGCAGCAGCCACCTCCCCCTCTCCCACCCTCACTCACTCCAACCCCCTCCACCTCCGACCATCTCTCCCACCCCGCTGTACTGCTGCATCACCGACTCGGCCACCCCAATTTCGCCGCTCTCCGCACTGCCATCACCTCTCGCCTCCTTCACAGCCTCCCTCCCACTCTCCCTCCCCTCCCTTCCTCTCCAGCCCCTCCATGCCCCTCCTGCATCCACGGCAAACTCAAACAGTCTCCCACCACAGCCACCCATCCTTGCTCCCGCTCCCATTGACCTAGTCCATATGGACCTCTGGGACCCTCTCCCACTCGCTCCCGTTAGGGCCATCGCTACATGCTGATCCTCGTAGACGACCACAGCCGCTACTCCTCCATTTTCCTCCTCCACACGAAAGACCAGGCACCGACTGTGATCACCCACTGGGCAGAGCAATGCCGCGCCCACTTCAACCGTCCCATCGGCCGCCTTCACTCTGACGGCGGCGGAGAATTCCTCAACCGCACCCTCTCCCACTACTGCGCCACCCATGGCATCCAACAGACCCACACCCTTCCCACTCCCCGCAGCAGAATGGTGTCGCAGAAAGCCGCATTCGCGAAATCACCAAAATCGCTCGTTGCCTCCTCGCTCACTACGCCTCCACCCCCTCCCTTCCCTCTGGGCATGCTCTCTGCTCCTGCTGCCCTCCTCCTCAACCTTCA